AAAATGAATTTGGGTAAGTTAAAACAAGATTCACCATGTTTATATGGTGCTCTGGCTCAGTTGGTAGAGTCGGCCATCTCTAAACCAGGAGATCAGGGGTTCGATCCCCAGCTCCTGCAGCAGCATGTCCTGTGTGTCCTTGGGTAAAACACTTACCCAACACCCCAAGTTGCTCCTGCTGCTTTGTCAGTGGTGTATGAATGGTATTTACATAGCAGCCTCTACCATCAGTGTGTGAATGTAAATGTGTGACCTTCAGTGTAAAAGCACTTTGAGTCATCAGAAGACTAGAAAAGCGCTACACAAGCTAATGTCCATTTAGCATTTACATGTCAATAAGCAGCTTAAAATACACAGCAAAAGTAGCTTTATAAGGTTTTTGAAATGGTTGGACTTCAAAGCGGCAGTGAGAGAAACAATCTCTCAATTTCAGAATGGCAGGATATTGTTATTTTGGAGTGTTTTTTTCTCTGTCTGTCTGAACAATACATGTATCACAGAGCATGTTTAACACTTTACATAGTCTGCTATTTCTGCCAAGAACTGTTCACTTGGCTGTGGCCATTAATCAGGAAATAAAAGCAAATTAATAAAATTATCAAAGCCTGTTAGAAATGGCAAATATTTCAGAACCACTGACCCATATTAGTCACCGTTATGTAGCTGTGATGCTCTGAAATGCAAAAGCAGTTCTGATGGAAGCCGAGTTTAGCAGTTTACTCCCAATGTTTGCACAGATTTTTTTTTGACGCTGTAGCTCCAAGTCAAGATGAGAACTTTCCCAAGACCGCGCCCTGCCTGCCCTGTGCTGCGTCCTGCCAGCTTCTGGCCATCACCTTGTCACCTCAAAGACCACATAATAGACTTACACATTTATCCATTCAAAACCACCGACAGATCCGTCTGTGTCGTAAGACAAAATCTGAAACTTGCTCAAGGGAGTCAGTTTGAGAAAGTCGCAGATATTACATTCAAATTGACTCGAGAAGGTTCAGCCCTGTAAATGAATTATCTTCAAAAGTTGTTTTATGAATAATGTTTTGAGTTTCTCCAGTGACATGTGGAGGAGGAGGGATGTTATCAGGTGTGCTCTACCATATGTTGATCTCAGGCATGGGGATTTTGCTTTTTTTTTTTTTTTTTACTGTTATGACAAGATGTCACGTGGGAGTGGAGGTTGAATGTGCTGTCACAACTTGTGTGTGTGTGTGTGTGTGTGTGTTGACATGCAAGTTTGGAGTACGATGTAATAGCTAGTCTTCATTCCTGAAGTAGATTGAAAGTTCTTCCAGTAAGTAGCTTATTTTTTTTTCTTCTTATCACTGCCACGTTCTCTTCTGCTTCTTTTATCTACAATTCTCTCCGACTCTTTATTTACTGTTCTTGTTTTTTTCCCCCTCTGTCTTTCCACTTCACCACCTTGTCCGCCTGCTGCCAACATCTATTAGCCACATCTACTCCGTCAATAACAACACCATGTTTTCCAGCCCTCCTCCTCCCCCAGCAGTGAGTCAATGCATTCACGCCTCTGTAGCTTTACAAGCAAACACGTTTGCGCTCTGGTCGCCTTGTGTAGCGGCACGCAGCACACACGCGACCGCAGCGACGTCCCACCAGCTATTAACACGGAGCCAAACTGCTCCCCTCCTATTTGTGTTCAAAGTGGGTATTTTAAATAAGCATGTCTCGGGTAAATAAACCGGCCGAGAACGAAGGAGTCAGTGATGTTAGGCTTTAGTGTTTTGAAACCACAGGCCCTAATTGGTCAGGGAGAGAAAGAATCACTGAGCGTTTTTTAGAGTTGGAGCAGCTTGACTTAATGCAAACAAGCAACATTACAGCATTCAGAGACAGATACAAGGAGAGGAAGAAAAAAACGTTTTGTAGCCCATGTGTGTTCAAAAAAAGACTGTGGGTGTCTGTCTGTGCAGCTAAGCGAGCCGCAGCAGCAGCAGCACAGCGAAAAATTAGCCGGAGCGGACATCTGTGAGCTATTAAAACAGCTTCAGGTAGCACATGTTGTCCACATTAGCTTGAACTGAGATTTACATTTCCACATCTCCACAAAGCATAATAAACAATCAAAGGGGGGCGTGTGCTGGAAGGTTACCATCAGTGATCATGGCAGAGCAACTTCAGATTACTCTGATTGGAGAGTCGCAGTGTGTGTGGATGGAGAGGGGAAACAAAGTGAGTGTGTGTTTGTAATCTGTGAGAATATCTGAATACTGATAACACACTTATTGGTCGTGAACAGCAAATGTACTTAAGTACATTTTGAGGTGATTCTACTTGACCTGCAACTTTTTGCTTCTAATACATTTTGAAGGAAATATTGTAGTTTTCTACACACATGCTGTTCATCACTTACATGTAACACTAAATCGGATATTGTCACAAATTTAAAATACCTTACAGTTTGAAGAGCAGTTTAAATGAGCTCTTCCATTACCAGCTACAACCGATGTTGTAATTGGAGCCTGACCAATATGTTTTTTTTGGGGCCGATACCGATGTTGGGGGGAGAAAAAAAAAATCAGATACCGATTTATCGGCCGATATCTTTCTTAGGTCTTTGTTTGATCTGTAGCGATAGATGGATTTAGATACTCTTACTTGCTTTGATCCCCCAAATTCAGTTGTCAAACACTTGTGGAAAAGATATACACTGGAAAGTAACTGCACATGTACGTGCATCATGCTTGACACTCTTTAGAGTTTTAGTGTTTTTTGTAATCCATATTGCACACCCTTGAGACAACCACAAAGAGAAAGATAGTTTTATACAACAACACTCAAATGAAATGCTATCTGACTAGTGAATAAATCTAGTAATATCGCCGCGTGTGTGATGAAATTAGCCGATACCGATAATCACCAGATATGCTGATATCGGCGGATATTATCGGCTGGCTGATTAATCAGTTGGACTCTAGTTGTAATATGACGACCTGTAAGAATGAAACGAGTTCTTTCAAACAATGACTACCTTACCAGTATATAACACCAGTATCTATACAGTTTGTGTGTTTATGTAGAAAGCACATTTGTATTTTTTCTTATTAGGATCTGAGAGCAGCAGAGAATATTATGGTTTCAGTCGTTTGTTTATGAAGTACTTCATCATATTAATGGCTGTTATTTATTTGAGTCTGTTTTAACAGTCTCTTTTGTCTGCTGGTTTGGGTCTTTTCATTTGAAAAATATTGGAACAAAAGCTAAGAATGTGTTGTAAACTTGCTAACACTGGTTTTTATGAACTTGCCCTCTCGCCAGTGAGCTAAAAAATAAAATAAAAATAAGGAGGATCCAGAGGGACTGCCCTCACCGCCTTTATAAACAGCTCAAGCTGCTGTCACATTGTTGCAGATACACTCTGCCGAGGAGCAGGACAAACAGATTTAAAAATGAATTTGACCCTGGTACCATAGGTCTCCTCACAGCATCATTTCACTTTAGTATATTCACTGCTGGCTGTAAAGCAAATTGCACCTCAGGGGATAATTAAGTTGACCTTCAATTTGACCTTATTTACTTTATCTTTTATCAGTATCTCTATTTTTAAATGAACACTTTTCCGTTTGATTTTTTTTTGTATTTATCACCATGATTATTTATTCATCATTATTTTTAAAATCTTATTTTTATTATTTTACATTCATAAATTAATTAAATCTTAACATTGTCTTTTTTTTATTTCACTACAATTTTAAAGGTTTCTTGTGTTTATTATCTTATTGCTTTTAACGTGTCGTCTTTTGTAACTTTTTCCATCCATCTTTATTTTATTGTTATTTTATTTCATTCTTATCGGAGTACATTCGTCTTCAATGATTTTTACAAACTTCTTTTTCATCAATCACTTTTTTCTGCACTTTGAACTGCAGATTAATTTGTCTAAAATGTGCTGTATAAATAACATTTTGTTTGATTGATTATTGATTATTCATAATGCAGGACTTTTCCTTGTAATTGAGTTTTTTTTACATGTTGCATTCCTGCTTTAACTCAAGTGAATCATACTCCTTCACAACCAGCTCACTATTCTTGTTCTTGTGATGGTAAAAGTTTGAAATGTTCCGATAGCGGACTTGATGTTGACATGTGTTGGAAGTTAGATTTTAATATCTAGTCCAAAGGGAAATACACAGTCAAGAACAAAATTGTGAAACACTTCTTAAATAATCTCAAATTAATTAGGAACATTCGGTGAAAAAGGTTATTGTGTAAGTTGATCGCTCAGCACATCTTACAACAATCTCGAGCAGGTTATTCTCTGCAGTCAGAGATGAAGGGAGATGAGTGATACAAATCAGAAGCCAATGTTTGACAGCAACTGTAACACTGCAGCAGTCCTGTGGAACTCTCCTCCTCCTCCTCCTGATCCCAGCGAGGGGAGAGAGGGAGTTTACCGAGTTCCTAGACTGCTGTCTCCCCCTATTGACCTTATAATGGAACAAAAGTTAGAGACCAAGTTTTTAGAAAGAATAAGGTCACGTTATTCACAGTAGAAATATAACTTTTGCAAAGCTGTTAAGGATGTTAAATGTCATAAATTGAACCGTTTTATAGAAAATACTTCTTGTGGACTGCGGGTCTTATTTTGAAAATGTTTTTTTTTTAACGCATTATCCGTCAATGATTATTTTCTTGATCAAATTATCCCTCACTTTGGTAAAGTTAAAAAAAAAAGATGCCTGACAAAAAAAAAAGTCCAGAACAGCTTCATCCCTTTCAGCATCTTTACCTATCTGTTGGAAAATCCAGTCGAATTAAACAGCATATATTCTGGCTTGTGACCAATGTGTGTATGTTTTGCGTTCATGTGTCTGTGTGTGTTGTTCTGTGCTGGTTTAGAGGTGGAAAAAATGGGATCGAATTCCTTCACTTTGGCGTCACTCGGGGTCGTCCAATCAGGTTCGGGCTTTCCTGTGCGGCATGGAAACGTTGTTATAAAGTCCGCATGCACGGAGTTTTGCAGTTCAAAGCACTCGCGCGTTCTGGGGATTGTACTTGAAGACTCAAAAGGAGCACTTTACCGTTTCACCCTGCAGCGTTGAAAGAAAGACTTCAACCATCTGACTTCTTTTTTTTTTTGGTCCTTTCGAGAGCGGATCCCGCTTGCAGAAAACAGACATTCAAGGACTCTTTCATTGGCTCGTGCGTAAAGACACTTGCTCTCCCAATCTGTTTTACGCACAGGAGCTTGAAAAAAATCCGCTTTTTTGAAAAACTTGCATCAAACTCATCCTGGCAACTTAAAGTTAATTTAGAGGCTTTTACTCTCGCGGGAAAGCAGACAGACATTACCCACCCGTTTCACGCGTAATTTGGCACCAAACGGTTGTTCGTATGAATCTCCTCGACCCTTACCTGAAGATGACGGAGGAACAAGACAAGTGTCTCTCTGATGCCCCGAGCCCGAGCATGTCCGAGGACTCCGCGGGCTCCCCGTGCCCGTCCGGCTCGGGCTCGGACACCGAGAACACCCGGCCGTCGGAGAACGGGCTGCTCAGAGCGGACGGAGAATTCAAGAAGGACGAGGAAGATAAGTTCCCCGCTTGCATCCGCGAGGCTGTGTCCCAGGTGCTCAAAGGTTACGACTGGACCCTCGTCCCTATGCCAGTGCGCGTTAACGGATCCTCTAAGAACAAGCCTCACGTTAAGAGACCGATGAATGCGTTCATGGTGTGGGCTCAGGCTGCGCGGAGGAAGCTGGCGGATCAATACCCACACCTGCATAACGCGGAGCTCAGCAAAACTCTGGGGAAACTTTGGAGGTAAGCGTGAAAACCAAACCTTTGCGCACTGATTAGCTTTTGATTATTTATCTGCATGTATTTATTACTTCACTCATTTTGACATGTTTACAATTTGTTGTAGCCTACTTTTCATTTGTAAAGCTGCACGAAGATTAAATATTAAGATGAACTATTTTTTGTCTAAAGTTAGAATATGTACAGTCGTGCACAATTAACAGTGTAGTAATGCATTCTTCCTTCTTACGCACAGACTTCTCAATGAAGGAGAGAAGCGACCGTTTGTGGAGGAGGCTGAGCGGCTCCGCGTGCAGCACAAGAAGGATCACCCTGACTATAAATACCAGCCCAGGCGGAGGAAGGCGGTGAAAAACGGACAGAGCGAGTCGGAGGACGGCAGCGAGCAGACCCACATTTCCCCCAATGCCATCTTCAAAGCCCTTCAGCAGGCGGACTCTCCCGCCTCCAGCATGGGAGAGGTGCACTCTCCTAGCGAGCACTCAGGTGAGCTGAAGCAAAGTTGTTTTTATTGACCTCTGTGCTTGCTAATGAAGTCCCCTTTTCACTAAAGATCACTAAAATTATCTCAGCAAAAGTTTGCTCAGACAGAACATCGCTTGATAGTAAATAGGAAAACAATGTATATAGTATGAAATCTAATCTTCATTTTCTCAATCTTCCAGGCTCCCAGGGGCCCCCTACTCCTCCCACTACCCCAAAGACTGATGTCAGCTCAGGCAAGATGGACCTTAAGCGGGAAGGTGGCCTTCGCTCTCTGCCCGACGGCCCCGGCGGGCGTCAGCTGAACATCGACTTCCGTGATGTTGACATCGGGGAGCTGAGCAGTGATGTCATATCCCACATTGAAACCTTTGACGTCAACGAGTTTGACCAGTACCTGCCGCCTAACGGCCACCCTGGCTCCGCAGCTGGTCCGGGCAACACCACGCCCGTCAGCTACACCGCCAGCTACAGCATCAGCAGCGGCGCCCCGGTGAGCCCGCAGGCGGGAGGCATCGCAGCCTGGATGGCTAAAAGCCAGAACCAGCAGGGGCAGCAGCAGCTCACCCTGACCACCCTGGGCAGCGGCGGCAGCAGCAGCAGCTCAGAGGCGGCTCAGGCCCAGCACAGGACCCAGATCAAGACAGAGCAGCTGAGCCCCAGTCACTACAGCGAGCAGCAGGGCTCCCCGCAGCACGTCGCCTTCAGCCCCTTCAACCTGCAGCACTACAGCCCCTCCTCCTCCTACCCCGTCATCTCCAGGGCGCAGCAGTACGACTACTCCGACCACCAGGTGGGGAGCACCGCCGCCGCCTCCTATTACAGCCACGCAGGGGCGGGGGCGGGGCAAGGCTCTGGGCTCTTCTCGACTTTCAGCTACAGCCAGAGGCCCATGTACACGCCCATTGCCGACAACTCGGGGGTGCCCTCCATCCCCCAGAGCAGCCCGCAGCACTGGGAGCAGGCTCCGGTTTACACCCAGCTCACGAGACCCTGAGCTGCCCTGCAGACTGAGAGACTCACAAACACAATGCGATGTACAGCTGCACACATTAACATACACACATTCTCCAAAACACTTTACTCCAGGGAGAGCTCTGCCTCCAGAGCGACTCCCTGAATCAGACACTTGAAATGGAAGAAAGGGAGAGCTGGACTTGTGATTGGCTCACGCCGTGCCTTGCTATTGTATCTTGATAGAAACTATATATATTTTTAGAGAGATGAAGAAACCTAGGAAAATCCTCTGTGAGGACTTATTGATTGTTGATATTTCAGTAGGTACTGTGTATGTTTCTTTTTGTGTGTGTTTTTTTTTTTCTTTATACGCTGGCAGTTTGTAACCCACACAGGTGGGATTGGGTGGGTTCAGGTCATTATTTGTACCTATAAACATTACACAAAAAAGCTTTATATTTGAAACCAATCAGCACCTAACGTCCCACAGTTGTGCAGAATGTGTTTCTCTTTAAGACTGAACTTTGCTTTTTTTTTTGTTGCTTCTCCTTTTCGTTGCCATTCAACAAGTATGGTTTGTGTTTCAGCTGTTTATTTGTTTTCACGACTTATGTGTCATGATCATTGAAAAGCTGTTAGGCAATACAGAGCAAGAGGGGGGAAAGTGTGTTTCACAATTCTGTGTTGACAGAAGACGGGGGAGGGGGGATTGGAGCCCTTTTTCACCATCCGTGCCTTGTATTTAAAAAAAAAACATTTTCTCAACTCTTTTAAATGTGCGTATGCGTGTGTGAGATTGCAAGTGTGCCGCAGCTGAGATTACACTTAGCGTCCAACAGTGCATGTTTGACAGCTCCAGGAAGTCACCTTTGACCCCTTTGGGTGTCCTCCTCCCCCCCCCCCATGCCCAGCAGTCTCCCACCACGCTGGTGTCCAATATATATTCCCATTACCCCCCTTTTCCCTTTTCAGTTGAAAACTTTATTTATTTATTAGCCTTAATTTTATTTCAAAGTAATTATTTTGCATACTAATCTTATAACTAATTAATTGTGTTCTTTTGCAATGTAGACAGCATATTTTTCCCCTCTTTTTTTTCAAATTTGGATTTTTTCATCCCAGGGGGTACTTAGAAAAAAAAAAATGGTACACGCTGTAATCGTCTTTTTTGGGGTTTTATTTATCTTATGTAAATGTTTATTTGAAGTATGTATTTGCCTTTCTCTGAGGATGGAAGGAGACTATCTAACTAAATGTGTATGGATTATTTGATATTTGTGAATATGCTTTGACTTGGACTTTAAATTACGGCTGAAAGAACTGGAATTTTTCTTATCTCAGTTACAGTACAAGGTTTTTGTTTTTTTGACAGTTTTTCTGTTTGTGAGCGCACAAAGAGGCACCGTCCATCTTTACCGCTCAACAAAACTCTGTTCCTTTTCTCTCACGTTATCAAAGAACTGAAGTTCCAGTACTCCTTTTTCTCTCCTCCTTCTTTGATCCTGACATGTATTTGTACTGTCTTTGAAAGAAACCTTTTTGTATGTGTATTTGCAATAAAAAAACAAAAATTTGCCATCAAACATCAGAGAGTCTTTCCCGTTAATAATTCAGGATGGAACTTTCAGTTATGCAACATCTCTTGGTTGATTAATTCATGAAACTGAAGAACATTTCAGCGTCAGTGAAAGGGTTAGTAGAAGTGCTAAGAAACAGAAACTAGTGTTTGTTTACCCAGAAGCCTTGTGTTCCTCCCCCTTCTGCTTTTATTTTCTTCCTCTTTCTCTCCCCGTCAGCTGGTAGCAGCAGGGGATGAGGCTCTAGGGGACAAGGAGTGGGGGGAGGGAACGGGACTCAATATAGCAAGTGCTGTAAAATGACTGGAAATAAGCAGAATTTATTCAAATAGAAGATGGGAAATGAAGGCAGTGGGTTTGATCTAATCTTGGCAAGAGAGGAAAAAAGATTCATACAAACCAGAGTCAGACTAAAAAATGCTCTGCAACTCACACTTTATGTAAGCCAATTTTACACTCTATGTACTTAAAAGATTTCCTGTAAAAACAAAAACGACTCCAGCTCACCTTACATTCCTGCTTTTTTGTAAATGGACTGTTAGAGGCTCGGCTTATATCTGAGGCTGCACAGATGAGGCTGTTTTATCAGTCTCTCAAATTTACATTTAACATATTCACATTATGAGGATACGGAGGCAAAAAATGGAATTCAACAACACACAATCGATGACTTCAGCTTCACCACTTATTATAGCTTTTATTGTTTGTTTTTAGGACAGCATGTCAAAGTGCTGCTAGTCATTTTAATTCCATTCAGAAACACTTTTTTTATATGCTAAGAACTTCCTTTGTGTAATAGTGACAGGGCAAACACAAACAAAACATACAATTAGCTGTGCAAAAACAAAGAGAAGACAGCTTTAAAAATACAGTGACAAATGTCATCAGTTGGAATAAGTAAGATGAACAGTTTTCATTTATAAAATGAAAAAAGAAAATGGCTACAAGTCACTCCATGAAATTAACTACTCGCACACCAAGTTCTCTTACACCAGCTCGCTAAACCTTCAGTAAATAACATGAAAATAAGAACACAAATTGAATTCTGGCGACAGTAGCTCAGTCTGCAAGGCCTTGGGGTTGGGAGCTGGAGGGTCCCCAGTTCAAGTCCAGGTGGGACTAAAACTAAAGGCACCAACCCCCCCCACCCCCACCCCCCACCAGCTCAGGAGTGCTAGCTGTGAATGTCCCCCTCACTCTGACATCTCTCCATTAGTATATGTCCATACGATCATGTTTGTGCATGTGTGTGTCTGTGCCTAATTTCCCCTCAATACAGTTTATAGAAATCAATGCAGGAACTCTCAGATGCTTTTTTTTTTTCCATAGAAACCTCCTTGAGCAAATATTTGTTCTGGGGGTCAATATGTCCAACAGAACCCAGAAAGATATCATTTTCAATACAAATCAAGTTGAAAGTACTTTCCAGGAGATACTTTGGTTCTTTTGTTTGTTTGTTCTATTGTTTTGCTTGTATTTATTTTGTTGTTGTAATTTTTAGTTCAACATGTGTTTTCTTGAGCTGTACAAAGTTATCAACCCAAGACAGATGTTCTAAACTATTTTACTTTAAATTCTGTTTTATGTCCCACTGGTCGCTTCTATTGGACTCTTAAAGGTACAACATGTAGATTTTTTACAATAAAATATCCAAATTAAGTAACAAATTATATTCTACAGATTTCTTTTGTTGAGTACTTCCATAAATTAAAATATTTCCAACAGCTATCAAAGCCAGAGAAATCCAAAAGTTTTAACAGTCCGTGTCTTGTCGTGGCCGCCACCATACTTGCCGTGGAAACACAGCATGTTACGTTAAAGACAGCTGCATAGGGAGGCGGGAATTGCAACTGAAAGCTGCCATACTGTTGCTGTATGTGCAGCTGTGATAAAATCATCATGTTAATTATATTTGGATAAATCATCGGTGAACATACTCTCCTCCTCAGGTCGGTTTTGCACGTTCATTGTCATTACGATCAACTCGGTGTTCGTTTTAAACGGGGGCTGGGCGGTGAAGTTGCAGAGGGAACTCCCATGATTCCCCACTAGCCTCTTGACGCCATCGATTGAGAGCCCCCTGGTGGCGGAATTTACATACTGTGCGTTTAAATTTGAAAATAGAATAAGCCCAATTAAGTTTTCTGAGTACTCCAGGGTTTTAGTAAAGTGGCTGACCTCTGATGGTAAAGCCCCCCTGAAGCAAAATGAGTAATTCTGGGTTGCATAGAGTTGACTTCACCTGACTCCTCATGCCAAAACAGCAGGTATAAAATCCTTCAATACATTTTAAGTGGTAGAGTCGGTCATCTCTCAAAACAAAAGGTCCAGGGTTCAATCCCCAGCTCCTGCAACCACATATCCTCAAACTGCTCCTGGCGGGATATGACTGTGTGTGAATGGGATGTGTTAACACTGATGGACACTTTACACAGCAGCCTCTGCCATCAGTGTGTGAATGGGTAGGTGTGACCCACGGTGTCATATTGCTTAAGACCAGAAAAGTGCTATACAAGCTCAAGTCCATTTATCATTCATCAGCACCACTCAGCAGTTGGGGAGCTGGAAATTGGACGTTGGATTGTCCCTTCAAGCAGAGCATCTGTTACACAGCTAAAACCATCACCACAAATTAACAAGTAAAATGCAACAATGACACACATGACCCTCCTTGTGCTTCTCTCAGTTGTTTCTTATTAGTTTTATGGAATCAAAAGATATTTAAAAAAAACAAAAAACGTAATGGGCACAAGCAGCGAACAGCAGACCTCTCCCCTCAGGCCCTCAGTGCTGGCATCCAACAAAAAGGTCAAGAAGGGGAAACACTGAGTGATGTCACGCTGCCGGGGGAGCAAACACCATTTTCCTATGATGTGGATTATGTGTTAGGCGACACAGTATTTTCATGCTCATTGGAGGCAGCTTTTAAACACGAGACAGGGACAGAAAGGAAGCCAAGACTCACTCCGTACTGCGTGACTGCTGATGGAGCGTGGCCTTTCAGCTGCCGCTCCATGAGGAGTCCTTCTGAATCCAGAGGCTTTTGGTTATCGCAGTCGTTGGATAATGAAAGCAGAGGTTTGGTAACCTTTGTGAGACATTTCACTTACCGATGTAATTTTATTAATGTGTGTTTTTCATGTGCAACATGTCTGAGAGTTCGATGATGGATCTGTCTACAGGCTGCTGATGCACAAACAAAGACACTGTAACGGAAACATGATACAGCAGGAACACGGAAATAATAAGTATCAAACTGAGACTGAGAGAACATCATGTGCCAGAGAGAGATGTGAGGGTGGTCATGTGACGTGATTTGTGACTTTGGTGACCTTTAGCAAAAAGTTGTTAGGGCTGAAACAAAAACGACTTGCAGTTGGGTTACACTTGTGGTTCTTATCTTTTTCATGTGGACGAAGAGGTTTTTTGAAGAACGGAGCGCGTGTGGTTAGGATCATTAACAGTGACAGTTGTTAGTAAATCTCATGCTGTGTAGCAGAACATTCAAACACATGGTGTATGTAACAGAAAAGAACATGATGATGATATTGCACTGGTGGGTCTACTTACCCAAGACAACCACATTGCCTACAAAAAAGCCAAGTCAGCCAGTGTGATGCAATTTTATTATTAATTAAATGTTTTAATGAAAGAGAAACGTATTATTGATTTTAGAAGAAAGAAGGACGATGTCTCCCCAGTGATCGTCAAAGGTCAGCAGGTTGAAATGGTCCAGTTTGATGAATATACATTTAGTTGGTAAAAGTACAGTGATGTCGCAGTGGTTGGCATCACTTGATGAGAATAAGGAAAAAACTAAAAACAGTTTTAATCTGTGAAGGCAATCCTTAGCCTTCTTTCTTTCATCAGCGAGTTGCAGCTGTAACCGGGGGATACAAATCATGATCATAGAGGCGTTTTACTTCCGGATACTGCCAAATCTGAGACAAGACTGAGTAAATGCTTTCGATTCCAGGACGAGACAGATACCTTTAAAAATACAACAGGTCCTTTGTTTGGTCCAGCAGCAGTCAGATATTTGAATGAACATTTTGAGTCATGGCTGTAAACTCTCTCTCAAATTGTTTACTTGTTGTGTATTCTAATAGTACTGTCGATAGGCACAAGTAGGACCCCTCAAGTGTGGCTTCTGCAGAACTGTCTCCATGTATGAAAGTGGCCCAAATCGGATTTGAAAAGATCTGATTGCATGTGACTTGTGTTGTCCAACTGTCATCACATAATCCGATCAGAGCCACACATTAAAAAAATAAATAAAGATTTGGTTCAGTATCCCATGCAGTGTTAACCAAAACCTTTCTTACAATATGACTGCAATGCAAGCTGGCGTCCCAGCAGCAGAGGCCCTCCAGCAGGCGTAGCTCCCCCAACCTACAGCGAGGTGATCGGGCACTACAACTACCCAACATCCCCGATGCCAAGCCACCGACATCGGACTGTGTCATCCCCACAACCACCGCCATCCTCATTCATGCACGGCCTGCTCCGACCTCCACCTCAGCAGCAAGGAAGTGTTGACAACAGGAACGCAAGGAATACAAAGGAGAAATCCATCCTGCATCTTATCCCATCTCCTCCATCCCAATTTTCTATTGTAACATAACAATGTTAATGGACTTGAGCTATGTATAGCGCTTTTCTAATCATCTGACTACTCAAAGCGCTTTTACACCGCATGCCACACCTACACATTCACACACTGATGGCAGAGGCTGCTCTGTAAAGACACCATCAGAAGTAACTAATCACATCCAGACACATTCATGTGCCGCTGACGAAGCAGCGGGAGCAATTTGGGGTTAAGTGTCTTGCTCAAGGACACATTGGACCCACTCTGCTAACTGATCCACAGCAGCCCCATGTACACAATGAGTATGGTATTTTACCTGCTCTTTTGTAAATTGGTGCTCTGAAAAAAAAAAAAAAATTACTTCTTACTGGAGACATAATTGTAAGAGACACAAGATATTAGATTTGGACAAAGG